CGCAGAGGGCCATTTCAAGTCGATATTTTACCTTTTCGACACTTTGCGTTCGTTATTTTGTCTTTCCGATATTTTGCGTTCGATATTTTGCCTTTTCGATATTTGCGTTCGATATTTTGCCTTTTCGATATTTTGCGTTCGATATTTTGTCTGTTCGATATTTTGCGTTCGATATTTTGCCTTTTCGATATTCTGCGTTCGATATTCTGCCTTTTCGATATTTTGCGTTCGATATTCTGCGTTCGATATTTTGCCTTTTCGATATTTTGTCTTTCGATATTTTGTCTTTCGATATGTTGCGTTTCGATATTTTGCGTTTCGATAGTTTGCGTTTCGATATTTTGCTTTCGATATTATGCTATTCGATATTTTGCGATTTCGATATTTTGCAATTCGATATTTTGCGATTTGATATTTTGCGATTTCGATATTTTGCAATTCGATATTTTGCGATTTCGATATTTTGCAATTTCGATAATTTGCGACTTCGATATTTTGCTTTCGATAATTTGCGTTCGATATTTTGCGCTTCGATATTTTGCGTTTCGATATTTTGTCATGGAAGCGGGTTGAACACCCCTCTTTTAACTCGGCTCCTGGGTCACGAAGCGACAGCTGAAGGCGGAGTTTGAAAGAGCGTCAAAAATAATGAAGACATTCCTTTGGTCACTCTTTAGGTCAGGTCAAAGGCCAGGTCAACAGAGGTCACCGAAGGTAAGATTTCGCCGCTTTTCAGGTTAAACGTTGATAATATTCGACAAACCGGCGCATAGCTCAGGAACAGGTAGAGCTAAAGCGACAGGAAAAAAACGCATTCGATAGATCTTTTAATGGTCATTCTGGATATTAACCTTAGCTTTAATCTCAGGCCAACAATCTAGCTTGCAGGGGGTAAAAACTACCAAAATAGCTGTTTTTGAGGAATCAGTTTTTCTCCAATAACTTTTGACTCAAAAGTTGCACGAGCTTTTTGTTAGCAGCATCGCGTTCCTCTCGTCGATACGCATCGAATGAGCTATTATTTAACCTTCAACAATCAACGTTAAAATTTGGCCGTGGGTCAAGGCTATGACCTGACTGAAAATGTCGTGTTGCGTTTCAGTCGAACCGTAAGGTCGAACTCAACATATCTAAGGTGTTTTCATCGCTCTAGCATGCCTATATAATAAGCTTTTACAGAAAACGTTACATACCATTCGTGACCTGAGATGACCTCAGGGACATAATGAGGGGTCACAGCCCACAGGCGCCATTTCCGGTTCAGTGTGTCATGTTTACTAGTAATTCGGTGTTTGAAAGTGTTAACAATGACGTTTGTCCAAAAGAAGCGCTGGAAAGGTTGGATAACACCACGTAAGACGAGCCAAATGGATCGGAGACACTCATAATGCCGTTTTGAGCGTCACTTGACACTCATTATAAGCATAATTTTTGCACCAGAATTTCAGCTTTATGGGTGTAAATATGTTTTTGTCTTCTGTGTATGACATGCATTGAAACTGGAGAGGCAACTTGACGTGACCTGGTGACCTGACCTTGAGTGACCTTGGTCTAAAATTTGCACAACATATTAGAACAGAGGTGTGATAATGTGTGCCAAAAAAAAAAAACGCTGGCGCGTTTTAGACATATTCGTGAAAAACCGCAGAAGGGTTTCAAACACCCCTCAGCAGGGCGCGAGTTAATACGCACTTACTGGACAGGATTTTGATTAATGAAAATTTGCACAGCAACCTATTTACCTATATGGCCTAGCTTGCACGACAAAATTATTAATTTCTGGCCAGTTGACCAAAGATACAAAGTTATATCCAAATCAGGTAAAAGGTGATGCAAAGTATGCTCAAGTCATTCTGAATTCCAACTCGTTATGGCCTTTTAGCAGTGACCAACGTGTATAGAAGTGGTCAGTTAACTCCCCAGCTATTCGGCACTTGATTGAGCTAGAGCTTAAAAAACGGATTTTTCGTGACAAGACGAAGTTTTTTTCTACGTTATCCATTCATTATCATCACATAGCATTACCACATCCATCGGCATACGCAAAACCCACTCCGCTGATCTCGTCAGTTGCTGCATCAGCCGCAACGGCCGACACTACGTACAGCGACAGCTCCTACCGACCCCCCAACTCTCCATAACATACGCACCACACTATATCACCGCACCGCCACCATGGTTTGACCCTGCACAGGTCAAGGTGCCCGTGACACCGTCGCGAGACCAGTCTCTGCGGTGATATTCAGACAGTAGACGAAGCTGATATATTACATTTTATCGCCTCAAGTCATTCTAGTTCAAGTCAGTGAAAGTAGAAAAGAAAATTGAAGTCAAGAAAATTTACACATCCAAACATTCTGTACGTGAGGTATTTATCTGGTATATTGAGGTTTTCATTTCTAACATCTCATTTAATTCCGTTAAATAATGATAATTGTGGTAATTGGTAGGTAGGGTCACTTTGGATCAGGTCAGGGCGAACTGACCAGTCGTAAGAGCTCACGAAGTTTTCAGCCGCCCCTACAGAGGGAGCTGCTGACGGGCATAGGGCGCTCGGATCGACTGAGGGTGTCCGTGAGGGCTCCGTCACTCGGGAAACCATCAACAGATGGCGAGACCAGCGCGCTGGTAGGGAGCGCCACGAGTCGCACTCGGCCCTGGAAGCCACTCATTTTTAGGATACGGCCCTTCGGTTTCTTTGAAACATCTCGGGGGCGTGAACTCAGAGGATAAACGGGGAGACATTTCGCCACTCTGGGCTGACGTGATTGTCTCGTCGCCATGGCTGAGCTCGTCCCGTGGGATTTTGGTGAGCTGGTGCGATAGGTCACAGTCGCTCAAACGATCACCTCAGGGGCGTCTGCTTCTATTAGGCCTTCTCTCTGGATGGCTGGGGAGGGCGGGGGAGGGGAGGTGAATGGCAACCCGGAACAATGCCAAAGGATGAGGATGGGCTGGTTCTGAGGATAAAAATAATACCTACAAACTCGCGTCTGGATGGAAGCATCCAGGAGGCCTAAAGGAAACGATAGCTGATTTAGTCGGAACTTTTAATGATACCCATTATGATCCACAATTTCCCATCGGGTGTAAACAACTTTGACCCCAGGTAACATAAGACAAGTCACCAGCCAAATTGAGCGAACGTGCGACTTGGGACACAGTAATTGGAGCGTTTTCACATATCAGGATCTCCTCGAGCCATGCTGTGGTACTGAAGGCCTTTTCACACAAAGCATGTGTGTGTGTGTGTGTGTGTGGGTGGGGGTGCCACACCTGCCAGTTTTTGCGCGTGTAAAGAAAACCGCTGAGCGCAGAGCCGCAAAACTTGACATATAATTAGCTTATCATTGATGTCACCATAAATGGAATTATTTGAACAATACATAATTTACTAAAAATGAGCATATTTAAAAGACATATTTCCGCACTTTTGAGCGTAATCCAATTATTGCATGACATGTGTGCATGCATTGTGTAGGTGATTTTTTATGTCTGCGTCTTCTATACACCTGCACCGTGAAACAACGGCGCAATGCAGAACAGCATAAAACAAAGCTGAAAAATCCAACGCACCTGATACCCTCCTTTCAATCATAAACCTTTATTCAACGAGACGTTTTAAAAACAGCCTCACTGCAAAACTTCTCAGTTACGTTTTTAACAATACACCGGATTAGTCACAGGGAAGGGTGACGAGCTCCATATACAGCCTGACGTGCAGCATTGATTGTGGTTCGCTGGGCCCGCGGCGCCGAGCGCTCTGTCGCCATGACAACCCAGGGACGCGGCGCCGCGGACCGGACACGGGGTGGCACTGGGCAGGTCCTGGCTCAGTGGCCCGGGGCGCAGCAACTGGTGCAGGGGCGCACGCGCACACAACGTAAGTGTTCAGGCGCAGCGTGTTCGGTATATAGACCACCTCCACGCGTTATTTTTGGCAAAAGGCACATGCACTCAATTCATTAAAATACTGCGTGTCTTTGAATAACTATTGATTATTGAGAAATTCGACGAACCACCCTCGCCATGAGTTTTCCTAAAAAAAAGGCATAACAATGCAAAGAGCTTATTACATCTCGAATGAAGGAATGGGAGAAGCGCACTCACGGCCTCGCACGCACCTAAGGCTATCTATCATTACGAAAGTGCTTGTTTTATCGGTCAGGAGGCGCGGGTGTACATACGGGCCGACTATGGCGTTATGTTCGTAACTTATATAGAACGACATTCGACAACCTTAAAAACACCAGGTTTTGGTAACAAGTATATTGAGAGGGTCTGGTAAAGTGATCTCGCTCGCATGAAAATGCGTCGCTTTTCTAGCCCTGTTACACGATGTTTTCAGAGTGTTTGGAATGTTTTCGTTGAAAAAATCACCGTTCAATTTCATCCAGTCTGACTTAAAACGGGGAGGTCGCTAAGTTGACCTTACATTGTCAACGATATAAAGATATCCGAGGGATATATTTTTTATCATATCCTCTTGGCACCCGAGAGCAAGGTATCAATAGAATCACCACAAAAATTCATTCCCTGGCTTAAAATAAGGTAAGTATGGATACAATACACTCTCAGTAGAGACTCCTAATTATGCGCATGCGCTGTGACCTGTACACTATAGTACACTTTCGGATTCGGGGACTACAAAAAATGGTGTAATACGTGAAAAATGACATTGCATTGTTTCGACAAACCTCTCTCAAAATCATCATAAAACCAGCGTGACTGTATTTATCAACATGAGACGGAGCTGAGGTGTGCGCGCTGACGCTCACCAGAGACGGAGCTGAGGTGTGCGGGCTGACGCTCAGCAGAAACGGAGCTGAAGGGTGCGCGCTGACGCCCAGCAGAAACGGAGCTGAAGGGTGCGCGCTGACGCCCAGCAGAAACGGAGCTGAAGGGTGCGCGCTGACGCTCACCAGAGAGGGAGCTGAAGGGTGCGCCCTGAAGCTCCCCAGAAACGGAGCTGAAGGGTGCGCGCTGATTGTTCAAGGTGTTTACACATTCGAACCTCCCTCGTGGAACTGATGGAAGCAGTCACGATCCGGGCGGCAGCAGAGGAAGATCTTGCACCTGCGGCACTCCATCCCTGTCTGCTGATGGCACCCGGGCTTCCTGCACCGCTTAAACTCCTTCCGAGGGTGGCACTTGGGGAGGTGCTTCCCTGAACGCAGGCGAGCTGGTGACGGCATTGGCACTGTGGCTCGACGGCGCTTCTTTGGATCCGGTCCGTCAGGCTCGTCTACGTCGCTGCTTCCTGAGCTGCTGTGGGATGAGCCATCGGAGCTGATGCCCTTCAGGAGCTGCATCGCCAGGGCATACTTGAACTGGAGGAAGTTCATCACCTCGGCACCCTTGATGCCGGCTTCTTCGGCATCTTGCTGGTACAGTAGCCACGCATTGACAGCTGACAAGTCGAAGAAGTGAAGGATTGTTTTTACCGTCCACTTCCGAGTTCTCGCACCTGACCTATAGTGCGCGATCATCCGATCATTCAGATCCACTCCTCCCATGTTGGCGTTGTAGGCCTTGACGACTGCAGGACGAGTTACGTCAATGTACGACCGACTTGTCTTCTGGTACCTTTTACAGGTGTCTGAAGGTTCGACGCCGTGTTCGGTTGATCCCAACAGGATCATCTTGCGATCTTGCCAGGCCGTGAACGCTACAGCGTCGTCACTGCGGACAGCGCACACAGACGTCCCTCTTCCTCGTTTGGCGAGTTCCCTCTCTGTCGGCAGTTTGGCCTCCTTCGGGACCAGATTTTTCTTGATGGTACCAGTCCCGTGAAGCCCTCGAGCCTCCAGCTGTTCCAGGAGGCGGGACGTTGTAAAGTACCTGTCGAAGTACACGGATGTCCCCGGAACCAAGGTTTGCACCAGTCTCATCACCACAGACTCGCCCACCGTCCATGGCTTGCCTTCAGCGCCTCCGTCGTCAAGCTTCTTCCCTTGGTAGACTTCGAAGTCGAGAACGAGTCCTCGCGGTGATGCCAGCACGAAGTTCTTAAGACCTTCTGGGTGAGGCTTTCCAGGCACATACTGCTTCAGTGTCGTTTTCCCCGTGAAAGGAATCATCTGCTCGTCGATGGACACCTGAGGAGGCCTTTCCTGCTGCAGACAGCCACTTCGAACGCTTTCGACGAGGGGACGCACCTTCCACAAGCGGTCCTTCTTCTGCTCATCGGTGACGTCGACATCATTCACTACTTTCAAGTGTCCCCGAATGAAGTGGAAACGATCCCGAGTGAAAGCGTCTGCCACTGCTGCGATCCGCGTTGGTTGTGACCAGTACATGCGTATCCAGGGGAACTTGAGCACAAACATCAGCAAGCTAGCCCCGAAGAACTGCTCGCACTCGTCGTTCTCCAAGAGGAGGCTTTTGCCCGTTTGAGCGACCGCATGCTGATTAGTTCGCAGCGCGATGGTTCGATACATTTGAGGAGGGATGAACACTTCCATGTACTCTCGGGGAGTCTTCACCCGAGCCTGGGAGGGACCTGACCTCTCTGGGATACATCGGCCAGCATCACCAGCTCCCTGCTGGCGAGACTTCGGAACGAACTCCTCCGATCTTCTGTAGAACACGCGCCTGGGCAACGGATGCTCGGAAGGATCATCGTCATCTCCGGAAACACCGTGTGCATCGTCCTCGCTATCGTTTTCTGGCCCTGAGGACTGTATTTGGTCTGGACCAGGACTGAAGTCTTCATCAGAGTCATCGAGGGAATCATCCAGGTCGGAATCTCTCAAGGACTGGAGGTAGGTGGCGATCTCCTCTGGGGTCCTCAGGACACCTTGGAACACACACACAGTAAGGAGGATTAGATACTAGGACTTACTCCACAAGGAGATCCTTCGATACCCGACTCGATTCGACCCGTTATTGATTCGCTGACGACGATATGTATAATACATATTGAAAGCGCTCCGACCCATTCGATCTCCTTGTGGAGTAAGTCCTAGTATTTCATCAATTTAATTCCATCTCCACATCATGTCATTACGTCGAGGATTAGATAGGTACCTATTTTGAATGAAATAGCTAGCTAAGTATTCTTGCGTATCTAAAATAAAAATGAATCATATTATGTATGAATCATAGTGTTATGTGACGAAAGTGTACCATTTTTTTTATGTTTTTTTCAGTTTTATTTACATAATTCACATAAAAACACCGGTAAAAATAAGCATGAAACGTTGTGCTCACCATCGGCGGCCCGCCTGGCCAGGCCGGGACGGTGCCGTCCACGGCCCTGGGGAGAGCTGGGGGATGCTTCCCCAGCCGGGGAGATCTGATGGCTACCTCCCCGGCGCTCCAGGCGGGCCGCCAGCCCCCGCCCGCACCGCCCGGCAAGCAACCCCGGGCGGTGCCCCCTAACCACCGACCGGGCGAGCGAAGCGCCAACCCGGAGGTCGGCGCTCCGCACGCCCGGCCGGCCGACCAGCCCCTCTCAGGTGGGGCTGGTCCCGGGTTGGCCCGGATGGGTCATAGGGGCGGGGGCATGTTTAGCGTTAGTGAAATCACATTACAGTCATCATGTGACACCACCAAACTCTTTCAGAGTTCTACACGTACCTTGATCCCCGATCAATCGATTAACAGTTCCAGTGTGCCAGGCCTTATAAACAACTTCCATCTGTCTCGAAACTCATCAACCTTCGATCCCTTCACAGCAATCGTTTTTTCCATATCGAACATCCTGGACAGCACAGGACGAAATGCTTGCATATTTGGAGCTGTATCGTGGGAATGTTGCGTTACAATAAATTGTTTTGCCAGCAAAATCATGCAATTGACTATATTTGCGTACTGCCGCCCCCCAAAGAGCGCATTATAGCAGGTAATTTCTATTGTGCCAGCTGCATCCGTCCTTTCATTTAGCATTGAACTTAGCCCTCTCCAAAACTTACGCACATACGAGCATTCAAAGAAGTAATGCTGCATGGTATCTATTTCTCCACAGTTGTCACAGAATGGATCATCTATTACCTGTCTTGTGTGCAAAAATCTTCTATTGGGAAAATACCTGTGAATTATTCTGTGCTGTAGTGATTGCAGACGCGTTGAAGCCGTTACCTTATATGCCATTTCATATACCTTATGCCAATCTTCACCAAAATCTGCTCCCTCGGCTACCCATCTCCCTTGCGCTGTTGGAGCACGGCAGGGCACCAGTTTGTTGTAAAAGAACTTCGATTTAAGGTTTGTCAATGGCATCTGTTTCCCATTTGTTTCGATCATTGAGTCCTCCCTGCGCTCCTGAACCGTTAGGGGTGCGCTGCCTATCAAACTTCGCCTCCAGCGGGCTGGTATCGCTTGACACCAGCCCATGTACTTAAGTGGGTTCAGTCGTATTGTGGGATATGTTTCCATAAGCAACTCGTAACTTAATATGACACCTTCACTATCTACTATATCATCTATAATCAAAATGTCATGCTCAAACATCTTTTTACATGATATAGTTTGTCTATTTACCATTATGGCTCTATTGTGCCATATAATTTGTTTTCTAACTGCCTGGCCAGTTTTCGGTTCGGGTACGGGACACAACCGCTTAAACCACATAAACATTTCTTTATAAAATGTCGGAATCTGTCTGCTCAAAACCCATTTCTCGTCCAAATCACAGTTGACAATACTACGCATAACCATCTGAGCTTTCTGCTCCAATATTTTGACAAAGCTTGTGTTTGGAGCACGGATCATACGCCCGATCCAACCAATTCTAGCCGCCTTATTCATAATTGAAAGCTCCGGTAAATTTAAACCTCCATTCTTTACTGGCATGACCAGCGTAGACTTCGCCACCTTTGGCGGCCGTCCACGCCAGACAAAACGCATTATATGACTCTGGATAATTGATAATAGTTTCTCGTCTACTCGCGTTGACGTCATGATGTACACTAATTGGGAGGCGATCAATGATTTAGCCACAGTTATTTTTCCTTTGATCGTTAGATCTCTCTGCGACCACTGATCTAATGTGTTTCTTATTTTGCTCTCAACCATGCCAAAGTTTTTTTGACCGCAGTCATGTGTCGCGCTGAACCAGACGCCAAGAATTTTTATGCTATCTGCCGGTGCTTTACCGCAGATATCATCTCTACATCCTTTATTTGGTCCCAACCACATGAACTCGCATTTATCTAAATTTAGCTGTAATCCCGAGACACTTCCAAACTCGTTAACCAATGCTACTGCCTTTTCTGCTTCACTAGTTCCCTTTACAAAAAGAGTTGTATCATCGCAATACTGAGAAATTTTTACCTCGTTACGGCCAATTTTTACCCCCGTTATGTCTGAGGTTCCTCGTATTTTAATTGCCAAGATTTCTACCACTAACGCGAACAAAGGAGCAGAAGCCGGGCAGCCCTGCTGTAGGCCTCTTGATGGACGAAACCATGCAGATGTGAATCCGTTATTACTTACAGACAACTCCGTTCCTTTATGCAATAACTTAATCCAAGATATAAAGTTGTCGCCGAAATTAAAAGTTTTTATGGTATCATAGACAAAGTCGTATTCTACAGAGTTGAACGCGTTTCTGAAGTCGAGAGCCATCAAGATAGCTTTCACCCTATCTGTTCCACAATAATGAATGACGTCTGCTATAGTCCTTAAATTTGTTCCTATATAACGTCCCCTTATTGATCCAGTTTGATCAGATGCTACAATTGTATGGAGAACCGTCATCATTCTGCTTGCCAGCACTTTCGCAACTATTTTGTATATGATGTCTAATAAACATATTGCTCTCTTGTTCTGAATAAACTTTTGGTCTCCTTTCTTCGGCAACAGAGTAAGAACACCTCTCCTCTGAGTAATAAAAAAGGAGCCGTCTTCCTTCGCCTGATTTACATAACTAACCACCATGTCTCCTATATCTTGCCAGAAGAAAAGGAAGAATTCCTTTGAAAATCCTGACACCGAGGGTGACTTGTTGTTAAGCATTCCTCGCAACGCACTCTCGCATTCCTGATTTGAAATGGGCCCCTCACATGATGCTTTGTCTTCAGCACTAAGCTGCGGACATGGAGTTCCTTGCAAGAATTTTGACACCTTCATACCCTCTGGGTCTTGCCCTGTAGTTGTGTAAACACCTTTAAAGTACTCACGGCAAAAGCTTAGAATTTCTGTATTTCCGGTGACATAATCACCACTATTATTTTGCAATACTGCTATACTTCTCTCCTTTTCCCTCCTCGCGTTTAATCTAAAAAAATATTTTGTTGGTTTCTCACCTTCCTCTAACCAGCGGGCTCCGGAGCGCATCATGGCCTGCCTCCCCTTTTCGTTCTCCATTCTATCCAGTTTCTCACTAAAATTCCGATATCTATCTGCCGAGGCCATCGTGGGATTTTGTCCCAGCTCTATCTCGCATCTTCCTACCTCCCTTAATAAGTGTGAATGCCTCTCTTTCCTTTCTTTTGCCTTCTGTGATGCCCGTCTAATGCCTAGAACGCGTATCTCACTCGTTAGCATTTCCAGCCGCAGTCCTAAATTCGTCGCGTCAGCATAAACACCTTGTCCGTCACGAGCTAATTGTATGACCCGCCGAGTGGCCTCAACAAATTCTCTATCTTCCAAAAGATTATTATCAAAACGGAATAGACCTCTACCTCTTTCGATTCCAAACATTCTAAGTTCTAACACCACAAGACTGTGGTCACTGTGTGTACCGGGAGCGATTTCAATGCGTCTGACAGCCTGGTTTAACATAAAGTTTTCACTGATGAAAACGTAATCGATTCTTGATTGTTGTAACGGATTCAGCCTACGCCACGTATATCGTCGACTTGATTTAAATCTTTCGCGCCAAACGTCTACCAGGCTAAAATCAGTTAATAAACTTTTAAGTGCATTACTGGACTGTGTTGACCGATACCTATTTTTGTACACGTCTAAATGAGATAGGTGCAAATTAAAGTCTCCACCCATTATAACAGAAGTTCCCTCCTGTGCTGTCAACTTGTCCACCTGATCTCTTAATGTGTCAAGAAAGGACGCCTGCAGCTGTGCACGGTTTTGGGTTGGGGCATAAATTCCAAACAGCATGATTCTAAACGAATCGTAGTCCGAAACGAAAGTGTACCATATTAACCCTCGCCCATGTAGGGGGGGGGTTGGTGCAACCCCCCCCCTGAGGCTTTTCGAAAATAGTGCAAAAACGGCGGCGCGCAGCGCCGCCAAATTTTGGGTACCTTATGGGGCAAACCTTGCGCATCTTTTGATAAAAAAAATTTGACCGGGTCATGTCAGGTCACGGAGTTATGACGTCACAAAGGGAACAGCCTCCGGCCGGATTTTCACAAACTGAGTGCCAACGCCCGAGGTTTCCTGCCGGTGGTACGGACATCGGTTGATGGATCGTGATGAAACTTCCCATGCATGTTGGGGCAAGTATTGGCTATCATATGGTATAAGAAACTTGACCGGGTCAGGTCAGGTCACGGAGCTATGACGTCACAAGAGGAACAGCGTCCGGTACTATTTTTGAAAAGCGCCCGAACCACTATTTTGCTAATTCTTGTCACTTCAATGGGAATATGCAGCAATATTAGCTTCTATAGGGAGCAAATGGACCTCCCAAATCCAAAAATACAATCAGATTTCAAAAATTTAAATTTTGATTTTTCGAATTTCTGCCGCCGACTGTGACCTTGCCGACTTCCGGCGCTCCCAACGCGCCATTTTTAGAGCTAGGGAAACGAAATACATACCAAACGATAGAGAATTGATCAAGGAACACGATAGTGAAGGTTTCAAGTCGATATCTCCCACCGTTTTGCCGCAATCGCCGCGGAAAGTTGAAAAAGTCTATTTTTCCGAAAATTTGACCTTTGACCGGTCAAAAGTAGGTCAAATGTTGACCTAGGACCAAAAAAATATACCACCAATCGCGAGATCTCGGCGAGAGCAATCCGTTGGTCTTTACCGCTAAGCTCTACGACGCTCCGTTTTCAAACGCCAAGGGGGGGGGGTCGCACCAACCCCCCCCCCCCTGCATGGGCGAAGGTGGCAGATCGCCGTTTACGGGCGAGGGTTAAACAATTTGTGTGGGTGCGATCACCTGGTGTGTACTATAGTGTACAACGCGACCTAATTTGCTGAAAACTAAGGGAATATTTGACACCAGGAAGGGAAAATGAGCTCTTTTGAATGTTTATGTAGCTCAATGACAATACATCGCGCTCCATTGGAAATTATTTTACGAAAACATATTTTTTATAGAAAATAACTTCGCTCTGCCGAATGTACACTATAATGGACATGACCTATTTGAACCACTTGCCTTCATGTGAACGGCTATATATTTATTTTTGCACCTTAAGGGAATCACCCAAGCTTCACTTAAAACGGACCAATGTAAAGATCGTTAAATTTTACACGAAATACACGAAAATACTAAATTTCCCGAGAGCTCATCTGAAGCGCGCTTCCCCCGCGAGGACGCTATCACTAACGACATCCGGTGGCAAAATAAAAAAGCGTTGTCGAGTTAACTGACCGACAGGTGGCAGGCCCGGAGTGTCAAAAACATAGGAGAAACTTAACCGAGAAGCTGACACTGAAAGAGGCGGTCCCAGCCGCCTAAATGTCAGTGTGTACTATAGTACACAAAAAGAGCACTAAACGGGTCAGCCAGTGTGGCTCTGACGACCATTGTAACTTTTATTGAGGTCAGGTCGCCTGATGTGACCAGTGACCTGACTTTGAGAGAGCTGCTTCTGCACTTTTAACAATTACATGTGTCGAAAAAGTGCATCAAAATTTGCATAAAACCGCAGGGGGACGTCCAAGGACCCTCCGGCCCGGCACACCTTAAAATATTTCGGCGTAACGGCATCTCGATAATTTTCTCATAATCATCAGAAGGCGCAACGCCAAAATGTTTGAATGCTTTTATAGAAAAAAATCCTAACCAAAGTGACATAAGAATGAACATAATATTATGTTTATTTGCATTTTCATCTACATATTTATAGCGCTATTTCCAGAACGTACGATACATGTAATGTGCCGTTCTACTTCAATAGTTACCAAAGGCATGCACGACATTCTGGTTCAACTGCCATAACTACCATTACCAAGTGTTTGCATGACCCATGTTAACATTCACGAGGACTTAAGTGTGGCTTCTACAGTAAAGCCGCTTTAGGTGGTGCTGGCCCGCAGGTCACGACTGAGCCGCGGCCGGGCCCTGTTCTGGCACGCGGACACCCATGACAGCGCTGGGCCAGCCGGGACCTATTAGTGATTCCCCACGGTCGATGACAGACACCCCTCCCCTCCCCGCACCCCTGCGTCGGTACCGGCGCCACCAGCGGAGTCGATCACCGACGATTAGCCGCGGCATTCTGGGGCGTACCGGGGCGCGGCGGCTCTGGGGCGGCGGCAGGGGGCGAGCGCCAGGTCACCGGTCCACCCCTCCCTGGGGACCGCGGGCGCGCTCCGGAACTACTTCGACCCACATACCCGGTCAGAGTGGGTCAGCGAGCGGGGCTGTTGGCGGACACAGCTCAATAGAAACCTGGTGCAGTCTTTGTTAGCTGCTGGAATGACCACTTTCGACTGTCCAGGGGCTGGCTGCTTCATTTAAATGGAAATTTACATGTGTCTCACAGACTTCTCTATACAATTAGAGAAGTCTGTGTGTGACTTCATTGTTTGCTTCTTTATATTTTTCCCATACGTCGGGCCAATGATAAAGCGTATGGACAAGTGAAATACATCAGAATTCACAGTACTTTTAATTTTATATCCTTCACTACATTATCATGGTTATTACAACAGCAAAGGATAAACTGATTAACAATATTAAATGTTAATACAGCGCCAACTGCCAAAGCTATTGAAGCCATAATGCACCTTTCATGGGCAGCTGACATGCTAAGGAGCGCCATCCTATCGACAGGTCTTCCGTGACATGACTTGCCAGCAATGTTCCGTGACCTGACCAAACCAGTACCAATTAAAAATGTAACGGTCCAGTACTTGCGACCACCTTCCACCGATACCTGCACATGCCAATGGCTCCAATAACTACCGTTGATCGCTTAGATACTACTTAAATATATTACAAAGAGAAGTGATGAATTACGTAGGTATTGTCGGTTGCTAATTTTATGTTTTAGATAAAACAAGCGCAATAATTCACCAGCGTGACAAAACAAGCATCAGCAACATCAGTGATGCACCATAGCTATGTCACTCCACTGAAGAGAGTGTACAATTGTATTTGAATAAAGTGCCACAAGCCAACCACAAACCACTGCTATTTTTCAGGTCACACAGGAAGGAAGAATCCTCCCGCGGCCCACTCCCCACCCGTCTGCTGTTCGTCTGTCGGCTACTCCAGGCAGTAGCGGACGTGACCTCAGTGACGGGCAGAGTGTGTCGGACGACAGTGGCACTTTCAGCCACCGACCTGACCTCGGGTCGCCGGTCTGACGTCATCATATCGCCGGTCTGACGTCATCCGTGTGTCGGGTGTGACGTCAGAGTCTGGGTGGGACGTCACAGGAGCGGGAGGAGGTCACAGTTCGGGTGAGTTACAGCTCCGAGGTCAGGGAGATTCGGCAGGGCTGGTGATGGACGAGCCATTTCGACTCTGTTTTATGTAAATGAGTGCATACTGAAAAAAGTACCACAAAACATGAGCACACGCATGTTCGGTCTTCTTCTGTAAGTCCAAAAGAGGAAAGCGCTGATCGTGCGTAGTGCCGTATAATGCACGTCATATGGAGGAACGACTAAATTATTCGGATTCTCCTTATAAGGAGAAGTGGCCCCGAGTCCAGTGCGTGCCGGATCCCAGCGCCTCACGCATATTGATGTGGTTAGAACTGGGCCAAGGCCTGGCCTGGCCTGCCAGACATCAGCGACCGACCGGTCAGGGCGGGCGAGGATTACTAAGATCAAACGTCGGGTGGTGCGATCGGTCGTATAACCGATTCCCCTTTCAGTCCGTCGGATTGTGCTGGACTGGAATCGTGCAGGAATTATTCTGGGCCCCGACAAACTTGCACGGATTCGGGTAGAATCTCTTGCAAAGCTACTTTTCTAAAAACCTTTGCATCGGCGCGGGGGCTGACTTGCCGACAGAATTGTGTCCCGATTGTCCGCAAGCACCGCACCATATACGACCTGCCCGACGGTCGGTCCATGCTGACCAATGCAGAGGCCACATGTCGAGCGGCCGGCATTGCGCCATTGCTATACGCTGACCGCCACCATCGCTTTGTCCCGAATATGGGACGTTCCTGAAGGGGAGTTGGGAATAGACGGACGAAGGGTTGATGCAACTCTACTCCCACGCGGCTGCGCCATGTCGGAGTGACATCGGAGCCCGGACGTCCCACACACGCTGCTAGGCACACAAGCAGTACTACCGATAAGACCATCATTTTAATGTGCCGTCCCGACAAGAAATTTGCTACAGATCAGCAGGTGCTTCTGCTCATCCCGCTGAAAATGGAACGTTGTCCATGTGTGTATATTCGAACAGCGCTGCTGCACGAATCTGCCTGGATTTACACAACACCCATAGTACCGACTGCTAAACGGACGCTGCGCCGGCATGAATGTATGCATGGCCGAGCCGCCGGGGTCTGTCCGTGACCTTCGCTGTCTCGGGGTCACTGGCGTCCGCTGTCAGTGACAGATGACAGACTGTCCGCCGCCGCTGCTGCCTGTCAGCTGATGGCGACATCCCCGCGGTGACTGTCAGGTGACCCAAAGGCCGCCGCGGCAATACACTCGAGCATGGGCAGACGGTCACGCTGTCTTGGCCATGAGCTATAGTTGTGTTACTAAGGCCCAACACTGTCAATGCAGGGTGATGAGGCTGTGATATTACTGTCTCGGTCGCCTCGGCACGGGTTTGTTTAGCGCTGTCAGCCATGTGCTGTCCGTAGCGCCTGCACAGTACACGTTTACAGCGAGCTCTGTGGAATGCAGCCGCAACTGATGGACGTGCGGGGACATCAGGATGCACAGAGGCGGACCCAGGCACCGGCTGCCGCCCTCTGTCCGGGCGCGGGCGGTGAAAGGAGGCGGGGTGCCGCCCCTGCACGTGGTGGGTCGGGGAGGGGGCGGGCCGCCGGGCCAGAGGGCCCAGTGGGCACCGCGCCGCCGCCCTCTGTGCACGACGACCGCTGGCCAAGGCCAAACTCATCGTGCTCATCGCGGCGTAACTGGCTGCTCGGCGGCGCCGGTACCTGGGGCGGCGGTGGCGGTGGGCAGCGCTCTCTGGCGGCGGCTGGCGCGCAGTGCGAGCCCGCCCCGCGCCGACGCAGGCCGCAGCAGCGAGGGAGGGAGGAGACCGGACCGCGAGCAGCGCCCCCAGGTGAGAGGCAGCTCCGTGACACCTGTCACCGGCACCCGGGTCTAGTGTTTACTGGGGACACGTGAGGAGTCAATGACAGTGACAGACTTATCAGCAGACATTGATGACCACCAGAAAAAAATGTGAACTTCTGCTTCCATATTCGTTTCAAACGCCAGTGGATGCTTCTCTGATTCGCTGACTTCGAGCACGCAGGGTCTAGCACTTCTTTCGCAACATCCCGTCTGCAATGAATGAAATACGACACCGAATAGACCGCCGTCAATCAATCCAGCACTGGTCCAGATCGCTCGTCTTTTTGTTTTGCTGCGTGAGCTGGATCCGAAGCCGTCGTTGCTCCGGTCGTGCCTTGCATAACGAAAGTTCGCCCGTAAACACTGTCGCATTCGGGACACATTTTCTGATCAGCACTGGCGCCGTGCTGGACAGAGATGAACAACCCTGCTGTACAGAGGAACTCTGATCCTCTCTGATCCTCACCCACGTGTTGCGCGGCTCTCTCTCTCTCTCTCTCTCTCTCTCTCTCTCTCTCTCTCTCTCTCTCTCTCTCTCAGTTTCTGGCAGCGTGTTCGGTGTGTCGGCGTGGTGTTTGGTCTATTATTGGCTGGGAGCACGTGTTGAGGCAGGCCGCCGACGGTACCCGTCCCGGTGCCCCATCACCCACTAAGAGGGGCGTGTCACTGAGGACTGTGTCACTGCCAGGGGGAGGGGTGGGGTCCCACGTGGGCGGGGCGCGGGTGGCTGAGTCTGGTGTCTAATCTAACCACATGGCCCGGGCGCATTTCGTTTGACGTTCCCACACTGCCGCCGTCGGCAGCGACTGGAAGAGACAGGGGAGAAGAAAAGAGGGTAGGAGATTGGGGAGAACGGTCAAAGAAACTCCACTCGGAGTGACGACATCCTTTCCTCGCCGACCGCTCACAAGCCGTGTCTCGTTGGCCCTCCCTAGGTGTCATGTCATTGGGACTCCCTATGCGGCAAGACCAGGCTGATCAGCCTCTTGGCACGTTCGTCTGATTCTCCAGATGGCGTCCGCACTGATTCAGGGGGACGCCAGACGCGTGTAACCTGCACCAGCTGGTAGCTCACCACTGCGCTGCGGATCTTCCAGCGGTGCAGGCAGAGGTGCAGCAGAAAGGCTGCACCTGTAGCAAGCGGTCTGGGCCGTAAATTTCGGCCGTAAACGATGGAACCGGACCAGTTACTGCCTCATGGTATAATTAGTTTTGAGTGCCGCCGGACATTTTCAGCTTCTTATTGTTGTTATATGAAGCTCGTGCTGCAGTTCATCAGATAAACTATGCAAAATCCATGTAGTTCGTGCAAGGGGTCTAATAGTATTTAACTATTAAATGTCACTTAGCCTTGCGCTATCCAAACACACTATTTCGAAGTTCTGCAGCTTTCGCACAGGTTTCCACATCATAGACAAATCGTCTTAGCGCGGCGTCTGCCATTTGCGAGTAGTCGCTTGGCTCGAGTCCAGCGCGTCCACCGCCCCTGCAGGGGTGACAGGGTGGGAGGTACTGAGAAGACAGATACCAGCTGGTGGACCGCCCCTCCCCCTGCACTGTCGCGTGCTGTGGCGGGAGGGTGGGCAGCAGTCTGCACCGGCCCTTTAACTGCAGCACCGCCCGCTCCAAAGATACCGCCCACCGCCGGCCGCACCTTGAACGGAACCCACGTCGTCGCCCCCGAGTCTACCATATCGAGAGACGTGATGTATTGTGACCCACAGCAACATATGATTCGACAGCGACAATGAATCTCTGTTGTCAGAGCGGACTGCTTCTTTACTGTAAGTCTAATGCTAAAAACTGCCGAAAGGATTGTTTGTTGAGATATGTTTGAGCCAAATTTAGAGAGCAAGCTTTCACAGTGAGCTGAGATTTCCAGCCGGGAGGTCCAGGTATAGCTCATCCCCAGCCGCCGCCCTTGTATCGCCCACTGCCGATGGTAGAGACACGCTGCATGGTCATATGGTGGGTTACACCAGGGCCCGTGAACTGCCCCGCCCCTATCTCTCCGGCTTCTGAACGTCAATTCATCCGGCATTGGTCAGTAGAAAATTCAGCATTGCGGCACTGTGTTACTTTCCCGCTGTCTACACATCAATGACTAGCGTTAACTGACCTTTTAGGCCGATCGCTAGCTCAGCGATCATTAATTTACTACCCATCGACCAATGGATCGGACACACAACAGCATCACCAAATCATTACCCACCACCTACTGAACATCACAATGCTCAGTACCCGCGCTCAGCCAGCACTGTCGCTACTGCACCACCTAACCGGACGTCCGGTGCCCCGTTAGCTTTTCCCGCCCGTCCCTGAACCAGTCGCGGTCTGCGGCGAACCAACGCTCGCCCATGGTTGTTGGTGGTGGCCGCCGGCCGTGGCCGATCGGTCCTGCTGCCTGCCAGTCACAGAGAGGGTGGGCGAATTACATCGGAATGACCGCAGAATTCCGCGACGGACATAAAGAGGATGGGTGGAGTTATAAGAGAATGACCGCTGAGTGACCGGCGGTCACTCTTGAATGAACAGGTAATATTCAACGGTAGATCATGCTGGAATGACCGCTAAAACACTGAAAGTCGATGGAAATGTCGAAAACACTGTCGATGGACTGTTTACAGGAGGGAACGTGGAATAGTAGAACGTTTTTGAGCATGCTTCTTTGTGGGACATTCTGGAATTAAGGATAACATGATTTTTGGTAGCTCATGCACCACAAGTGACATTATTAGAGACAAAATAAGTATACTGTCATCCCACACTAATTTTATGGATTTGTGCCATGAAGAACGACAATGCAGATCATAATTCATAGCTTTTGCATCCCAATGTGGTAGCTACGGACGACCCTTTTCTCGCTAAACATTTTCATGTGCTGAGGTAATTCCGTGGCCGGCGCTACCGGATGCGCCTGACAACAGTGCTTCCAAAAAACGCTGCAACAGCGACCGCATCAATGCCCACAGCCTGCCCAAGGCCACCGAGCTGCACTGGCCGGCTACTGTCCGCTGTGCATCCAGCATGTGGTCGGACCCGCTCTGTCGTCCGCTGCCAATGCTGCCGTCTGCTGTCACCGTCTACCGCCCGTCCTACTATCAACCACCATCGCTTGTCGCGCGTCCTTCTGTCCAATGCCCATTGGCACCGCTTGCCATACCGCCCCCGTCTGCTAAGATACCCCCTCCCCCCCCCCATGCGCCCTCTGCCGTACCGTTCCCCATCCTCTGCATGCCGTCCTCCACACTCTGCCATACCGTACCTCTTACCATCTCCCGCCCCTCTGCCGTGCCATCCTCCCGCCCTCTGCCGTGCCATCCTCCCGCCCTCTGCCGTACCATCCCCCGCCCCTCTGCCATATCATATCCCGCCCTCTGTCGTACCATCCTCTCCGCTCTGTCACATACCACCCCGTCTTCTGTCGTACCGCCCCCGCCCCTCTGCCGTTGTCGCCGTACCATCCTCCCACCCTCTGCCGTACCATCCCCCGCCCCTCTGCCGTACCATCCCCCGCCCCTCTGCCGTGCCCGCTGCCGGGAGCCGGTTTGGCGGACGGGTTCTGAGAAGGGCGTCGTGCGGAGGTGGCCGGCGGTGCCTCCGACTGTATCTGCCTCCTCACGGCATGGCTGCAAGACTGCAAAATGCACCATGATGCCGTGATGCATGGACGAGCCTGTGTAGGCAGAGGAGTGGGCCGCGACGGCAATTGTGGGAAGTGGGAGGGCGGAGTGCCGAGGCCGAGGTCATACGAATCGAGGTAAAATGCATGTAAGACGTAGTGTAATGCTGGTATCAAATGACACTGACACTTCAATACCGAAATTACGAAATAATCGCTATTTTACTCCTTGCATACCCACAGTTTCTTTTCTAAAATTTACACAACTTGAATTCGCCATTTCTGCGGTGTTTTAAACACAAATGTGATTCATTTGTACGATTTGGTTAGGCAAAAAATTATTATTTGCCAATGGACTGGTCTAAAGAAAACAAAGTGCCGAATCAAAACATTCATATCAGGACAGCGGTCCTTGGACAGCCTAGCAGAGCACGTCCGACACGCGCAGTGTTACTGGCACTAAATCAATAAACATTCACTTGCTTATGTTAGATAACGTGTGCTGCACTGCATGCTTGGTCTGTCAAGCTATGTGTTGCCAGAATGACGGTACATCAAGAAGTTATAATACAGTCACCAAGTTTGGTGATGTAAATGCTTTCCTGATAGTTGGAAAGAAAGTTCGATCTTTTTCAATGCGTGGTAAAATTTTGTATATGTTATGACAGGGACTAACTAAGCCATTCAATAATAATGACGACAAATCTCTACGCATCTACCATTTACAGTCTTGTTATCTTTTTGTGATAGTTTAACAGCCCCTCTTTCATCGAGCTTGGCTGCCGAAATAGCAAGGTGCCGCTGTATGACACCTCCTGACCAGGGATTTGTCCGTCTGACCAGGGAACCCCTTCTGTCTGACCAGGGAACCCCTTCTGTCTGACCAGGGAACCCCTTCCTTCTGACCAGGGGCCGCTCGTCTCGCCAGAGACCCCCTTCTATCTGACCAGGGGCCCGGGGCCGCCCGTCTGGCCGTGTGGGCGGACCGGCAGTTTTGGGTCGGCCGGCCGGGAGGGCGGCGCCGCTGCCGATGTGTGTGCGTGGGCAGCCGAGCGGGCCAAGGCTGCCCGGACGTGGTTCGACCCAACGAGCCGAGGCCGAGCGCGCTGGGTGGGACACCTTGGAGCCCTGCAGCGCACTGCCGGGTCTGCAGAGTCTGCCCCCTGTCCGCACCAATCATTCCCTCGGGACGGGGAACCGTGCCGACCGTCAGTGCCCCTGAGATGAGACGTTCTACCAGTCATACATAACGGTACCACGAACCGTCCCTGGTGACATTTGCTCCCCCAGTTCCCCTGACAGGCCAACGGTGCAATGTTCACGAAAACGACCATACCATAGCCGTGCTGTGGCGTATATGTAAATATATACAGCCCGCTGGTGTCTGCTCGCGAAACTGGGGCGGTGGATCTGGCTCAACGTTCCACACTTGCTGCGGTCAGTCTGCCGCGGCCACTGGCGGCGGTTCCACGGACCTCTGACTTACTTCCAAGGTCCGCACAAGGCGATCGAGGCCGCTCCTTATTAAGAAGCGACACACGCTCAATCGGTGATTCAGCGTTCTCGATCAGTCTGCGACACCTTCCGACAGGCAGATCGGAGATGGACAGGTTCGGTGCGAGCAGCCTGAGAGAGTTCTGGAATCGCGCTGAAGTCAGGCTCATCGGAATGCACTTCAATCAAACACCTCTTATGAAACAAATTACGACCCAAGATCATACAGTTGACTACCTATTTGGAGTCGCAGCTTTGCGGCTTCCAAGGAACACATTTACTTTGACCTTTAATAACTGAAATGACTACTTAAATGGCTTAATAGGCTTTTTTGCTTCTTCTTTTTAAGCCACTCACTTTTTACATCTGCCTACTTTATGAACTGTCTAGCAGAAGGCCGCTATATGAAAATGCATAAAAGTCCGACCAGAGACGGGTTTGATTACGCTGAACGCCGAGCTGGAGGACCGGTTCGTTTGGCGGCCGTCTGTCAGATCTCCTGAGCAGACTCGTGTTCCTGGAACCCCCTCGCCGGATCCCGCAAAGTACCGCCGCCGAAAACACCATATTTGGGGAGCTGTAAGGCTGCTATTCCATTCAGAGACTCGCTCCACCTTCCTGTCACGCGCTGAATCGTTTTAAATTCGACCCTGAACGAGGCGCAGCGATGCTCGAAAGCACTGCAGAACAGACTGGAAGCCGGCTAACTTTGAACCTCACTCAGCACTCTGCGTATCTGTGCTATCCTCTCGTGCTCGCGCTGAGGTCAGCGTTAATCTCGATGTCCTCAGCACTCTGTCTCGGAGCTCTCGCTCTCAGCTGTGTTGCAACACTGCGTCGGGTGCTAACATGGTGACTCACCAGCGGCGTTTCCGCCCTGAGCTCGTTCGATGTGGTCGGCGGCACGCTCCGCTCCAAAAACAACAAACACCCTGAGGACATATGGGGTGTTTCCAGCACCGGCTGGGGCTGGCGAGGCGGGCTTCGTAGTTCGGCTCGGCTCACTGTGATCCAATGGTGGTCCACAGAAGTTGGCTAGTGGTCAGCTTCAGCCTACTGTATAGATATACATAGTAGCTACATCTAACTGCAATGCGTTCCGCTGCCTAGCCTGCCTACAGCCTGCCACGAAAACCAAACCAGAATGCATACAGCTTCATCAACAGCTAAGTTATAAGACTGGTCCGGACCGGCGTTTAAATACAGGCGCTCCGTGCATTAGCCTCGTCACGGAGTCAGCGGCGCACCTGCGTGTCCGCTCTGCGTACCGGCGCGGCGGACCGTGCTATTGAGCGACCGTGCGTGTTTGTCGGTTCATTGGTCCTGTGATTGGCACTGGGGTGGGACCGGGCCGGGGAGGGGTAAGCCTGGCCCCGTTCCGGTGACCGAGGCACGTCCGACGTAGCCGAGCCGTACCCGACGTTCGGTCGTAGGCCGTACTGCGTGCCGCCGTGGCGTGCGATGTCGCACCAGGTGGAGCGCGTCACTTGGACGGACGGAATCGGTCGTAGTTTGGCATGTGACAGTCAAGACACGCCTCTCTAATGAGGGTGCTGGTTGGGGACTGGCACATTGGCGTGCCATTCTGAACAGCGGCGTGCGAGTGTGCAGTAAGCACCAACAGTGCCCGGAATCGGTACCGCGGGTTCGACCTTCATGCTTGGCTTCACGACGGATTGATAGACACTGTCATGCTGTGTTGTTAGCGGCTGCTAAAATCAGAAGAGAGCGGGTGAGGATTTTTCGTCTCTTCGGCACTCCGTTCATTGCAACCCATATTCATAACCTTAGCAGTACCAGCAAAGCAAGCTATATTGTGATTTTGAATCATGTGGGTCGCAGACAGCACTCCACACCAAATGGTAATGTATTTATCATGAACTCATTTTGCCTATCTGCGTGGTATCAGGTTATTAATTGTTGTGAATGTACGTGCACTCTACTTGCAGCTCCCCGGCGTTTTTAGCCCAATCGGGAGATCTGTTCAGTGTTAAAGTTATCGCACAAGATAACAAGTGGATAACAGGCTCCAAGTGGCACATGTAATTACTATGAGCCACAGGCACTCAGACCATGCGTAGGACGTGTTTGTTTTGATTTGGATGTTACATAGATCTTTCTTCAACGACTGCTGTGAAGGGGAACAGATGGAACGATTGATGAGATGCTCCGTCTAATACGGCTGTTTTGATGTCGTACAGGCGGCCACTCGGAATTCCAACCCAGCTTATCTTGAATGAGGTGAATATCCACCTGAAAAATACAAATTGCATACGATATATGCCGGTTGATAGAGCTTAGAAGATTTATGACGTCTCCACCAGTTGGAGAAAGCCAGCATTCGCTGGCTTTTGTTATTGCCATCGTTTGGTTCAACGCCGTTTCTACAGACGTTTTCAATGCAGACTCACTGCTGAGAATAGCCATGTGCACGGTGGAAGCACTGTAGCAGTGTCGAAGTTCCATTTCTGCGTTTTTAGTTGGATGTGCTTAACTCTATCACCAATGCACAAACTATTTTGTGCAATTTATATGATGTAGGTATGATGTCTGCTTCTCTAGCGTGTCTTGCAAACAAGTTGGAGGATAATTTAACTGCCTCTCCAAAGCTCTCTAAGTCTCTGCGTCACCCAGTGCGCGTCATTTGACGTCACCAGCGGCTCTGGAGTCTGCCGGCGATGACGCCACCGGCGGAACTCTGAAGGCTCCCGGCGATGACGCCACATCTGCCGCCATCCCGGGCGGACGAGCTGGGTGCCTGCTCGGCGGCGCGGCCGGCAGCGCGTGACCGGGCGGCGGCGGCGGCAGCGGCGGCGGCGGCAGCGGTGGGCGGCCGGCGCCGCCACGCCAACACCCTTATATGGACCGCCTGTCCATATGACGTCACAGCTGTGGGCGGCCAGCGGCGGCGGAGTCAGCTGACCGTTTTGGTATGACGCCCCACCACCTCTCCAAGAGCGGCTCTGACTGGTCCGCCAGTTAGTCATATGACCTTAACGGGCTGTGCGGCGCCTAGGGTGACCTAGGAGTGTCTCTGCACAGCTGATTGAACCAAATGACGTAGATGGTCTCTGGTCTGGTCTGGAACACAGACGGCTACAGCTCCGACTCCTGACGTCACTGCTGTCGGCTAAATGTTTTGGTCATCAGCTGATTGTGACCTCAGTGGCCTATCGCCTCCGGTCAAGGCTGTTGAAAGCCGGAGAAGCTTAACAGGATTAACATCAAACATTTGATGGAGTCGAAGAGTCAGGCCTTTATCGTACTAAACCCGAACAATGGAGTCGGACCGATGAACGAATACACACGCCAAACTCAATGGTAAACAAGAACACTAAAACGCTATCTCACAGGAAACTCGCATAAACAGGGGAGATCCAAGCCTTTTATAACCGCATGAGCAGAGCGTAGCGTGACGTGCCCCAAACACCGAATGGGCGACTGACTTGAGCGTTCCGAGCGAGGGACGACAGGAAAGGGAAGGGTGGCACTTTCGCCTCTCTCGCCGGCGCGGCCCGGCGCCGGCTGGCCAGGGAGCGTTTCGCCGGTGCATGGGCCAACCGAGTGTAGTCGCTTTCTCTGAACCAGCCGCCCATCGCTGCTGTGGCGGTGGCGGCGGCGGCGGCGGCGGTGGTGGTTTGGTATGTTGTTTCTATCGACCGGCTTGGTGCGTCGCCTTGCCTCCGGTGGGTGGGAACTTAGAACCGACCGTGGGCGCCCAATGTTCGACCCGTGGGTGCTGACGCTTTACTTTGGGTGGGCACAGGTAGGGAGTGGTCAGCGTTGGAGGAGCGGCCAAGTAGTGGTTTAGAGTGCAATGTCAGCGCCGGTGCCGGGACTGCCGCCGTTCAGTCTGCGTCCATATACGCTGACGAGGTACCGTCGAGGACGCGCCGGTCCGTTCCGGCCGGTGGGCGACCTCGCGGACCTCAGTGAGTCACCAGGTGACCGGAGCACCACCTGAGCGCTGACCTGTGCGCGGCGGCCAAACCCCAGTCACCAGCGTCATGACATGCCGCCCCAGCCCAGCTGCTGCCCTAACACGGCACTGGCACCTCACCCCTACCCTCTCTCTTGACCGCAAATGGCATTTTCGCAGGTCGGACCTCCGAGTGGGCGGCGCCAGTGAGTGACGTCACCCAGGCACCCGGCAGAGGGCGCTTTCATAACACGACCGGCCGGCGGCGGCGGGGCAGAATCGAGGGCCGCCCAGCAGCAGACGACCGCGAGCCGAGCCGACGACGCGCCGTGTGCTGATCACGTCCAGTGTGCGCGAGACAGACGACTAACGTGTGAGAGTGAGGCACTTGGAAGTGCCAAGGACTCTTGTGTGCTTGTGTGAACGTGTGAAACTGTGAGCCGGCAACATGCCTGGAAAGACCGGCAAGGTTCTGCGGAACGGGAAGTGGGTGAAGGAAGAGAAGCGCGTGACGGAGGAGAAGAAGGTGCAGAAGTTCGAGACCCAGGAGAAGACCACGCAGAAGGTCTCCGGCAAGTTTTCCAAGAGTGCCACCAGCTCGGAAACACAGGCCGTGAAGAGCTCTGACGTGAAGGCCATCAAGGGGAAGGAGACGACCAAGGGGACGACGAAGGATGCGATCAAAGAGTCGCCGAGCAAGGGGAAGACCAGCGACACGACCGGGACCGGCGCCGAGGGAGGCGCCGGCCCGGTAGTGTCGACAGCAGACAGCTCCAGTGCCGCCGAGTTAAGGGCCTCGACGGCGCAGGAGCTCAGCTCGTCACAGCTGGCCTCCTCCGAGCTGCAGATCTCCGAGATGTCGTCCACCCAGCTGGCCGAGAGCTCCTCCTCACAGCAGGTGATGGAGAGCTCCATGTCGCAGCAGGTGATGGAGAGCTCCTCGTCACAGCAGATGATGGAACAGTCGTCATCACAACAGATGATGGAGCAGTCGTCTTCACAGCAGATGATGGAGCAGTCCTCATCACGTCAGCTTGCCGAAAGCACTTCTTCCTCTCAGCAGCTGATGCAGCGTTCTTCCTCTTCTCATCAGGTGCTGGAAAGCTCCTCTTCCCAGCAAATGATGGAACAATCAACTTCCCAGCAGATGATGGAGTCCATGTCCTCTCAGCAGGTACTGGAACAGTCATCCATGTCCTCCCAGAAAATGATGGAGCAGTCTTCTATGTCTTCTCAGCAGCTGCTGGAGCAGTCCTCCATGTCCTCCCAGCTGCAGCAGTCCTCGCAGATGAGCGAGTCGCAAAATGTGAGCTCGAGCGTCATGGAGTCGAGCTCTTCCTCGAACGTGCAGCAGGTCGGCAGCGTCTCCAGCACCGGTGAGGTGCTGCAGATCAGCGACAGCTCCAGGACTGTGGACGACAAGGGCGCTAGGAAGCCCAGCGCTGCCAAGAGGAAAAAGTCCGACCGACCCACCACCGCCGAGGGCGGCGGCAAAAACGCCAAGTGCATCTGCGAAATCTGCGAGTGCGGGTGAGTACCGAATACCGATTGATCAGCATGCAATTACGTATCTACTATTTCAATTTCACAATTGTTATTCAGTACTCTTGAGCTACAGTAGTCTATGCAGTATGCAGTTACTTTATTCGCACGATGCCATATATGTCTTGAGCAGCGTGCTTCTTGGACAGCTGACTATGCGTGACGTCAGAATCTCATTACCATGCACAAGCAGCGCTTTTGACTTATGGGCGCGAGCAGTGCGTGTCTTGAGCAATGAGCATCCTTCCATGAACCGTATCGAGAACCGTCCTCATCTTAAGTAAGTACCGATAACGTCACCAGCTGATGCATTTTTCTAACTGACTCACTCACGGCTGATTAAACTTTTAAATCATAATTCAAAAGATATATGTATCAGGTCTCTTACAGATCACCGACCTTGGTTTTCTTTCTGACTTCTCTGACTAAGAGACGGCTCAGAACAAAACACAAATTTTCCTTACATTTCATGGTGGACATCAATTTTATACATGTAATTGGGTGAACCTTCAACATGAGTGCAAACATATGTTACACGCTATAACTTCTCCGTCTCCCTACCACTCATTTGGACATAACGCATCAACATACACACGATGATGCCAGCACATAAAGAGGACGACGTCATCACTAGGTGGCGTCACATCCGTCTGAGATGACTGGGATCCCGGTGAGGCATGCAGGGAGTAGAGACGGGGAGGGGGCGGTTGGAACGATCGCCAGACTCCCAGCCCCTCTCCGCCCGGCGTGGTGCTAGCGCGCTGTGCTCCACTGCAGTCTCCCGTCACCGCCCACGCGAGTCGAGAGGGAATCTCGCGAGATGGGGATATTTCGCCGGTGTCATAGCGTCGCAGGGTACCTATGATCGAATTCGAGCTTCGACATAACCTTCTGCGCATTCCTCTCAATGTACTAAATTTGATGTAGACCCAGCCAACCCAACCCAGGAACCGACGTGAACATTGAGATTATGCGATGTAACTGCTGAAAACTTGAAAAAAAAAAAAAATACAACCAGTGAGCGTAGCATCTAATGTTGCGGCTGTATCCTGTGCAGCATTTGTTCCGGTTGGGTTAAGCGCGTTGGCGGTAGGTATATATTCATTGCCCATAATGCTGCACGGCTCTCGAGGTCACGTGACGTCACTAGGGAGGGAGAGGGAGAGGTGACTGGGAGCTGATGCAGTATAAGGGAGAAAGGGAGAGGGAAAAGAGAGAGAGAGAGAGAGAGGGAGAGAGAGAGAGAGAGAGAGAGAGAGAGAGAGAGAGAGAGAGAGAGAGAGAGAGAGAGAGAGAGAGAGAGGGAGAGAGAGAGAGGGGGGTCTGTCACGGTTTTGTGCCGATAAATCTTAGCATCAAAATATTTCGGAACAAGCCTCCTCAAGTTTCTCGCTTTGAAACGTGATCACTAAGATCTCGTATTAGCTCCATCCCTGAAATTCTATCCATAATGGTAACTTCGTTCGGAAGAAAAGCGGGTCACCACGGCGCTGGCTGTGTCCATAACAGAAAACACTGCCTCATTCAGATTCTGTCCAGCACCGTCCCGTCACCGTCGCCCTGTTTTCACTTTCTTGACCGGGCGGCGGCGGCTGGCACCTCGACTGGAGAGGTGGCGGGGAGACTGGGGCGGCCGGCACCCATGGGTGACCGGGCGCACAGGGTGGCTGCGGCCGGCACAGGGTGGCCGCACGTGACCCGGCCGGGCGCCGCGGCTCTCAGCCCCGCCCGGTGACGCGCCATTGTGGTACGCCGCGCGGGAGACGTGCCTGGCCGCCGCTCACCTCACCTGGGGCCGCGGGAAGCTGAGCTGAGCACGGCGGGCCAGCAGTGAGCGGGGCCGGGCCTCGCTCACCGACACCGCATAGTGCTGAACGGTGCAGAATGGGAGCCGGTGCGGTCTACGGTAGGCACGACCTGCTGGCCGACGTATACACAGGCAAGAAGGGAGAGAGGGCAGCAGTTCAGGGAGAGTCAGAGGGGGCACCACACTCAGAGGCCAGTGTCCAGAGAAGGTGACCATAAGTGAAAGAGTGAAAGAGGAAGATTGATGTAGAGATAACAATGAGTGCGAGGGAGAGAGAGAGAGAGAGAGAGAGAGAGAGAGAGAGAGAGAGAGAGAGAGAGAGAGAGAGAGAGAGAGAGAGAGAGAGAGATGAGAGAGAGAGAGAGAGAGAGAGAGAGAGAGAGAGAGAGAGAGAGAGAGAGAGAGAGAGAGAGAGAGAGAGAGAGAGAGAGAGAGAGATACAGACAGACAGACAGAGAGGGGGAGGGAATAGAGAGGACGTTGTTCTTACTATTGCGATCATTGCTAAACGCCCAGCTCCTCGTTAGCCCGTCTGACTGAGTCGCCGGCTCCCACAGACCGCACGCTAAGCCTGTCTACTCGTGTCTACCGGATCAGAGCTTTATTTGCCTGAGATCACTTTATTGTCACGAATTCCGTGACGCTAAATCGCCACTAGTCTGAATGTCGAGAGACCAGCTATCATTCCGATACCAAGGGACTCATTAGCGCGGTAAATGGCGTGCCTCGTGAAACACTGCTACGGCTGCTGGTTTTGGTTGTGTAGTGTAAAGAACAACAAGGTTGTTATGAAAACTGCGGCATTCCATTTTAGTTACCGCTGAAAACCAGCCTTTGATGTCTATGTGCACCTTGGCATTCCTTGCAAGCTGTGTTCAATATCCCACGCGGCGGTGTCGTGCCGTTTTCACGTGTCACGACGTTCTCGTGACGACACATATATAGAAGTCCATCAACATTGGTGCCAAGGACTGCTGCTGGCGATACTCATTATCGCCACTTCATCTTTCGTGACTCCATAAGTTACACTCTCACTAAGTTACCCGTTTACATTAATTACTCTGAAAACATAACGATGTTTGGAAAAGGTATATGTTTTACATAAAGGTGCTTTATATCATTAAGTGGTGACGCTAAAACATTATTTTGGGGAGCATATAACTAGTCCAGTGAAGGCGTGAATACATAAGTAGATAGATAGATAGATAGATAGATAGATAAGCTTTATTTCAGACTCTGGGTCCATACTCTTAAATAAGTAAAGAAATTTATAAGTAATTTATTGATGGGACAACAGGCGATGAATTTGAGAACGACAAGAAAGCGTCTAAGCGACATGCATCCCATCTCACCTTTCATGCGTGCCGGGAACATGGGGGAGGGGGAGGGAGCACTCCGACCTTGATCGTGGTGGCCTCGTATCCCGCTCCGTGGCACACTAACGGCACGGTACAGTCCGTCACACAGGCACACCCCCTCCCCACTGCCAGTAGCCAACAATGGCTCATTTATTCGAGCACGCGCCGCCGCCACAGGACACGACAGCTAGCGGCGGCCGGCGGCCGGCGGCCGGCCGGGCCGGGACAGTGCTGCCAGGACCTGGTGCAGGACGGGGGTGCGAGTTCGGATCCTGGACATATTCAGCGTCGTCGTGAAGTAGTGGTGAAAAGATTCGTTCAGTGGTTGCAGACAGCACAAGTATTGTCGTGTTGGTAGATGTTACTAAGTGGTTTTGATACATTTCCGTGACATTTCCAGGCAGTGTGTACTGTGTAGATGTGATGATAAATAACTAGCCTGGTTAAGTAGCCGTCATGCGACGTCGCGCCAGTCTGAAAATGTGGTGCTTTGTGCCTGCCGGGGCTGGTCCCGTCGAGACAGTCGTCCAGAAGTACGGGTAAGCGACGGGACGGGTCCCGCCCACGTGTTACCACCGGCACACGGGACGGGCCCCGCCCACCCCTGGATCGGCCCCGCCCACCCCTGGATCGGCCCCGCCCACTGATGTGTCCGCTGCTGGCACAGGACGAGCCCGCCCACCCTTTATGTGGTCCAGCCCAGTCCTGTACATGTTGTCACTTTTCCACCCACCCTATCATGCCCTCCGTCATAGAGCCCCGCCCACCCCTGTGTTCACCGTCACATACCCAGACACCCCTGTGCCCGCCGTCACTGTAGCTATGAGTCACGATAGTGACGCGATGGCCTGGAGGATAGCTCCCCGCTCCGGCACGAGGCAGGCGGCCTGTGTATATTTTCACAGGCGCGACATGACTGATGCGTAACGAACTCTCAGGAGCTTTAGGATAACAAAATCGGGCCGCAGGGATCGTTAAACAGACCGACGTGACCAAGTTTGGTGAAAGGTTGCTGAGTTGGATGATTCACGAGTCTGGCGTCTCCTCGTTATGGCCACAACAATGTCTAAAACACTCTGGCTGACATCATCTACAAAGAAGGGAGACCGAGTTTGTCCTGACAAACACGGTTGAGTCGGATCAACCCAAACCATTCACTTTCTTGTTACTATGGACAAGCATGACACATGATTGCTGTCCTTTCAATGCTCTGAGCAGTGCAATGCACGTCGTTGGCTCTTGCTTGCATGCGCTGAAAACGAGCCGTGAGCACCAGCTGAACCCTCTCCTCGGAACTATGACTCGGAGTGACTCCATACTGAGTCAGAGTCAGTGCAGTTGGAGTCACTCTGCTGTTGCAGTTTGAACCGCCGTGACTCTTAGGGAGGGGAGGGCAGAGAGCTGCGGCTCCATGTCCAAGCAGGACCCTGCTCTCCGTCCTTCTGTCATTGTGCTGATTGTTGCGTTTGCATGCTATGATGTGGCCTGTGGTTGCAGATGCTGATATAGAATAAGGTTTGCACACCACGAGACAGGGGACTAGGGATTGGGAGGGACGGCGTAGGCAGGCAGGAGGAGAGGACATCATCATCATCATCATCATCATCATCATCATCATCATGATGGTGGAGGTCAGACAGGCATGATGGTGGAGGTCAGACATGGGTGGAGGTCAGACAGGCAGGGGTCAGATATAGGCCAGACGGGAGAGAGAAGACTGTTACAGGCTTATTTAGCTCAGAGAGGGGGAGGACTAGACATGACCTCGGGAAGACAGAAACAGACACAGGCCAGAAAGGGGAACGAGAACGTGAATCACTAAT